AGTGGAGCAGCTGGGACTCAAATCAGCACCCATATGGAATGCCAGCACTACAGGTAGTGGCTTAACCCATTACACCACAGTGCCAGCCCCACATCTAGCATATTCTGATCTAATTCTGAAATGCTGAGGACAAACAAACTAAAAGATTTAACAGAGTCCCAGTAATAAAGAACTAAAGAGAGCCAGTGTTATAGAGCAATGGGTAAAGCTGCTATTTGCAATGCCCTATAAGAGCACTGGTTTGAGTACCAGTTGCTCTGTTTCTGATCCAGCTTCCTGTTACTGTACCTGGGAAAACAGCAGAGGATGGCCCAAATAGCTGAACTCCTGCCACCCACATTGGAGAACAGAAGGGAGTTCCAGGCTCCTGGATTCAGCTTGGCCCAGCAAGGCCATTGTGGCCATTTGGGGACTGAACTAGCAGATGGAAGATGTTTCTTTCTCTCTGAGTGTGTGTGTCTCTTCTTCTCTCTGTCAATCTTCCTCTCAAATAAATAAATAAATCTTTAAAATTATTAAAAAAAGAATTAGGAAAATATATTTAAGCAGAAAAGCTCAGATTGGCACCTAACCTTGCAACTGCAGTGTAAGAATGATGTGTCAGAGCTGGAGCACCCACACAATGAAAAAGAAGACTGCATTCCAAGAATCTTGGGCAAGGGAGATGACCTTTAATTTTCTGGGAGAAAAACATATTGGTGCATCGAAAATAACTTGCAGAATAATTCACCCAAATGCCTTGTTTGAAAGTATTACTTTGTGAGAAAAACTAAAGAATGAAACAAAACATATTAGGCAGGAAGTTAGAAATCAGCCTATGTGTGCAAGCAGGGCCTAGGGAGACTGACACCTACAGCAGTCCAGCATATGCATCCAGCATCTGGATTTCAGGGTCACCCTGATAACCTTCCAGGTGCAGTCCAGCATCACATTGCAAAGTCCTGCCCAGACCCCAATAACCTTCCAGGAGGTCCCACTCCTTCCTGACCAGATAAACATCTTTCCTCTAAAGCAGCACCCTAGAGAGAAGCCCCTCGGCTGACACCAGCAAGGCTTCCCCTGTCTCAAGTGGTAAACTTGGAAAGGAATTTTTCATATTTTCACCCAGAAAATCCTTTCGCCAGGGCTCCCCAACCTTTGTCCTGGAGGATAGGTGGAGGAGGCAAAGAGACTCCCTTAAAAACAGGAGTCCAGAGACTGTGTGCTCAGCCCTCTGGTCGATCTGAGCTGCCCACTTGGCCTGCCCAGGTGTATTCTCTCCATTCAACTATGTAACCCAGCTGTCCCCCAGTCTGAGTGACTGGGCACTCTCTATCTGTTCCTTCCCTTCTGACAGATGCCCTATCCCCAATAAAACCTTATCACTTCTCTCTCTGTCTCATGCCTGAATTCCTTCTTGCATGCAGACAAGAACCCCGCAGCTTCCACTCTCTTTTCTCCAGAGTCAAAGAGAGCACTTCAGGAAAAGAAAAAAGAAAGAAAAGTGATGCACAGTAAAGTGAGCATTTTCCACCTGTTCATGCAAACACCTAGATGTGTGTGCAACAGATGTGTGTATACCTACATGTATGCGCAGTATGCATGTACTTCTATGTGTGTATACTCACATAATGGAAGAAATAAACAAGGCTAACCAGTTGGGGAAAAGCTCTAAGTAATATGAAGTAATTGCATTAAACCAAGCTCTCACATTAACAACTTTGTACTCCAAGACCTGAGAGCGGACAGTGCACAGAGAGGAGGACAGCTTGGGTAAAATGCAGCATTGGTTCCCATTAGAGATCAGGATCACCTGAAGAGAAGAGACCTACTTCCCTAGACGGAGATTTGCATTCAAAAGAGCAAATATGCTGCTGCTGGGCAAAGTGATAAAATCTGTTCATTCAGCGACAAGCCTGGGAGCAGCCCTCTCAGTGCTGTTATCACTGTTATCACTGAGAATCTGCAGAGAACTCCCACAGGTGGAGAAAAGGACAAAGCCAATAAATACCCAATGCACAGAGGAGCAAATCCCCAAACCAACAACCATGCAAAAAGTTGCTTCTGCAAACTAATAGAAAAATGCAAATTAAAAATACCCCAGATAATTAAGTTTTCACACACTGAACTATCAACAGAATAAGGGCTGTAACACCAGTGTTTGGCAAAGTGAAGAAATGAGTATTCATGTAATTGCTCATGGAACTGTAAAGTTTACCTTTGTAGAAATAAATCTGACAACAATGTTGTAATTAAAACTATATATCCTTTAACTCAGCAGCTTTGCTTTTGTGGTTCTTTAAGAATCTAGCCTGTAGAAATAAAGGCACTGACATATAAAGTAGGGCTACATAAATGTTGTTATATGCAAACATATCCATTAAATGCTAAGTGCTAATTATAAGAATTAATTATGTACAGATATATGGAATGCTTTGGGAAAATTTACACAAGCTTTGAAGCAAGCATAAATAGATGGCAGAATGGAATTACTAAAGGACAAAGAGGGAAAAACAACAATAAAAACAACAGCAAGATGTTTTAGAATTATCTCCAGTTTTAGTGAAGAGAAATTTAAAATTCATGGGTGAAAAAGGTAGAAAATAAAATTCGTTACAGAATGGGCCAGATGTGAACAATGAAATGAAATCCCAATCCCTTAAAACCCTAGTTTCTGCACAACTTCATCATGCACAAATCCATGGTCCTATATCTGTGTAACAACAAGCCCATGTCCATTTTTAGTGCTATTTACCTAAGAAGAATAGCAAAATAGTTATCCAGAACTCAATTATATTTATATTTTTTACTGTTTTGAACAGATTGACAGTTCACTGAAATAAAGCAGTCAGAAAAATCTTCCCATGATTATTAAAAATTGTAGTTAAATTCACACTTGGAATTTGGTAGATAATTAGTATTAATCAGTAGACTATTAGTTGTGAGATACAGAACTGAATAAATGATAATAAGAAAAAAACACTGCTATAAATAAAATGCTTCCATTCAAGTAGCATAAGGAGCTGAGTCGGTTTAATAAATACCTTTCATTCCAAGAAAGATAAACTACTAGGGCTTCTTGGAATGGCTATTTAAATCTTTAACAGAGCCCTTTATTTTTCTCTAGAATAATGTCAGTTAAAACACTTGAATCACTTAAACACCAGTATTTTATTCATTTTAATCTGAGAATAAGATCAGCAAGTGGGAGTAAAGAATTCTTCAACATGAATGAAGACATGACAAAGACAAATGTACTGAGCAGTAAAGATAATAATTTCTTGGTCCTTTCATCTTTCTCTCTCCCTCCCTCTGTCTAACTCTTTCTCCCTCTGAAAGTAACAACTTCAGGTCTCAGGAGTGGAACACAATCTGGCTGATTCAAGCAGTTCTTGGCTGCATTAACTCAGACTATTGAAAACATAGACCTAGCTGAAACTAAATAGCCACAATCTACTTCCTTAGAGATGGGAATGGTTTAATCAGCCCCTAATTATGTTTCTGTTAATTGGTAGATGGAAAAAGTCCTGGCCATGAATAAGCATTTTACTTTTGAGCAGTTATTATACATCTCTAAGTCTCTTTTTAAAAAAAATCAAATATTTGGGAAGTAGACAGAGACAGAGATGAGGCCAGGGATGGGGGGGACACCCATTTGCTTATTCACTCCTCAAATGCTCTTAAGAACCAGGAGACCAGAATCAGGCGGTAGGGACTCAATCCAGGTCTCCCAAGTGACAGCAGGAAACCAAATACTTGAGCCATCACCACTGCATCCTAAGATCAGTTTTAGCAGGAAGCTGGAGTGAGGAGCTAGAGCAAGGAATATAACACAGACACTCTGTTGTAGAACCTAAGAGTCTGAACTACTAGGTTAATACTCCTTCCGTAAGTTCTAATATTTAAAATATATCTCTTGATTTATTTTTATGAAAAATCCATGTGCATTCAAGGAAAAAAATATACACTCATCCATTTAGAGTAGTTGTCATTATAAGCATTTTCAAACAGCTTCCCTTATGATTGGACATACCAAACCATATGCAGACACTTCAAAAAGATCGTGGATAATGGATTTAAGAAGTGAGTTTATTCTGACACAGAAAATTTTTGAAATCCATGCCCAGCTTTATTCATAATACACATATTCATGCACTTTTGAAGACTCCCTCATATTTATATCCTCAAGTGAGTTTGCTTGTCATGACCTTCAAACGTCAGTGTAGAAGGAACAGACATGCTGTCAGGGGACTAGCTCTGATTTTTTTTTTTTTTATTTTCTTTCTTCTATTTTATTTGAAACACAGAGAAACAGAGACAAACAGAGTTCTTTCATTTGCTGGTTCACTTCCTGTTGTCAAGTCTACTGCTTACTCATTTTTAGGTTTTGAGCAAAACATCTAGCATTTTTGAGCCACATTTTCTTCATGTAATAAAAGAGAATAAATTCTCAATATCTTAAGAGGTAGTTTGAGGATGAATAGATGTTTATGAAGCACCAAAAAGAGAATATGGCTCATAATAGTTGATAGCTATTACAAATTCTGCCAAGTCAATAGTGAAAACTTTCCATCTGATTCTATCAAGATCTCCTCATGTTTCCAATGAACACAACTGCAGCATCTTATAGAGAATGAAGAGTCTAAGTTAGACACATTGCTGTGATTTTTCTTTTCTCTCTGCTCAGCTGACCACCAAGAACATTTCAGCACCCAATGATTGGAGCTGGATCTTCTGTGCAGTAACATGAAATACAGCAAGAATCTAATTCAGTCAGCAAGGACCCCTCCACTCTGCCATCCTTCGTGTGAAATGGAAGACATTGGTTGACTAGGGTGGCCTTTGCCCTTCCTGATATGCACACCAGAAATTTCCATCGAATTTCCAAAGGAACCTTTTTATGTTACTGTTCTTTGTGTATCTTTAAATCACATATTCTTTAGCACTGGAAGTAATGCCAAGTGCACACACAAATACAGACACAAGAAAATGCAGACGGAGCTAAGTATGGCGTTACTGACCTGCACAGCAGTCTTGCCACACTCGCAAATCCATCTTCGGGATGTCACTACAGCTCAGGTAACCCTGTGGGTATTCTGCCCTTACAAAGACGTCTGCCTGGACTTGCTGAATGTCATCGCCGTTGTCACAAAGCACTCGGGCCAGGGACACTTGCTTGAGCTGAGTGAGTTGTGCAGGGGTGAACACGCCAGGGTTTTCATACCAGAACCTGGTAGTGAACAATGAAAGGCACAGTGTCCAGACTCTGCCGCCTGAGAGATCAGGTGCATGATAAGCACAGCACTCCAAAGAGGAAAATAAGAGCTCACAAAAGAAACAGCACATTGCAAGGATTATGCTTGGTCTGACACCTTTAACTCCCTTCAATATTTATAATGTTCCCAAATCCCATGCTTCTAAACTATCATTTCCTACTGCTTTCACAAAATCATTTACAGCTTTATGATGTTGAACCAAAAAAAGCACATTTTAAAATTTAAACTTTAAATTTCAGAAACTGACCTTATACATTATCTCAGCAATCCAATATTGATATTTTTGTCTAAGATGAAATATTACTTCTGCTTGTTAATGTATCCTCAGTTGGTTCTTTCTACCGACACACCCAATTTTAAACACACTCAATTTTAAATGAAAAAATATGCTTTTAAAATGGACTATTAAAGTGAGTCCTTAGGTTCATTCATTTGGTAAATAATTGAATGCCATACATAAGCACGTGCTTCTTGCTGGGGCTACAACAGTCAGTTAGACTGGAAACAAAAAGGTTTGCTGAAGCCCACATGGTGATATGGGCTGAACTGTGTTGTGCAAATGTTCATATGTTGAAGTTCGAATCCCCAGAATTTCAGACTGTGTCTCTATGTAGCCTTCAAAGAGCTAATGAAGGTAAAATATGGGCATAGGGATGGACCCTAATCCAGCGTGACTGGTGTCCTCATGAGAATAAGAAATGAAGACCCAGACAAAGGGAAGACCATGTGAAACCACAGTGTGAAGATGGCCATGTTTAGCTGGGAAGAGAGCCCATAGCAGAAAGGCCCAGGATGGTGAGAATAATTCATTTCAGTGTGTCAAACTACTCATTATGTGGTATTTTGTTTGTTAGCAAGTCAATATACACAGAGATGACAACACTCCCAAAACCGAAGCTTTCTCTTGACTTCATATGTTATTCAATTATTATAACCCCATGGTATAAGGCAAGAAATCCAGTGTTAAATATAATTTATAACAATTAATTTACTGAAATATAGTATTAATATTTGCCAACGTGCAATAAAGGGAAGTAAATCTTCTGCTATTTTCTTTTATATATGGAAGACACTTAGAAGAAAAATTTAACTTAAGAATAACTTTTAGTGTAACTTGAATTAAAAGCTAAATTCTAGGCTGTGTTCCAAGTTGTACATAAATCAGCTCTGCAATAATGCAGAACATTGAGGTATCAAACAAATTCATAAAATTCCTAAATCTAACCCCCACTAAACCTTACTAATGATTCAGAGCTTTGGAGTACATTTGGTCTTACATGACAGAAGAGCACTTGCCAGCTGTTATGGATTGGATTTCCCAGTTTTTATACCGGGTTAATCTTGCAATAGTGAAGAGATGACATACTCACACTCTCCAGTAGCTGTCCCCCATAATTTTATAATTTGTTTACATTAAACACGTTGTTGATAAGCAACAAATTTTAGGGTTGTGTTCCCAGTTCTCTTTCCTCTAGTCAAATTCCTCATTAAAATTTTACAAAGAGGTCTCATCAGCCCAGGTCGTCCTGTATAACAATAGAGGAGGGAGTCTCAGGGTGCTGAAGATTGTAGTATTGGTGCTCAACATCGTTTAGGGCTGCACGAATCCTACAAAATAGGTTCCATTGTCTCACACACATTACACACAAGGAACCTGGCTCAGAGAGTCAATGCTTCCTAAGCAGAGATGCTCACCTTAGAACAAAGGTAGTGAGTCTGGCATGTACTCCCTTAATTACTGACTTCTTCTACTTTCCAAGACTTTCAATTTCTTTTCTTCTTACAAAGATTTACAAAAATAAATTTCATCTGATATTATCATTGGGCATAAATGTTCTATGACCAAATTCTATTTGTAACTTCTTATATTTAGAATGTTTTAAAACATAGAAATATACAGAGTCACACAAATCACTTATTCACATGTGTTTTGGGGCAGGTTTTTTTTGTTGTTGTTGTTATCTTTGATAAGTAAAACAGATAATCCTTCACCTATCTCCATCTCTTAGCCGTTGAAACTGGATGACCAACAGACACATGAGTGTTGGTCCCACTCTCGTCCCAGGGATCAGATCTTCAACCATAAGGGCGGGCCACAAGTCAATGTCACCTGGAGTGCTGTACAACCTGGAACAGAAACAAGCAGGCAATTCATACTGGAGACTGGACGTGACACAAGATATCTCTCAAATAATAACTACTAAGCGTTATTTTATTGCATTCAAACTAAAAGGAAAAAATAGATTTATTCCCATTTCACAGGTAGGAGCATTGAGAGGAAGGAAGGATTCAGGGATCACATAGGTGACCAGAAACAGAGCTTCTAATACCAGAAGTCATGCAATACATATGGTGTTATTCTTTGTAATTGTCCCACTAAGTATGTGCAATATAATTCTATTTATATGTAGTAGAGTGCATGTATGACTATATTAATATATAAAAATGCATCCGCCGGCGGCGCAGCTCACTAGGCTAATCCTCTGCCTTGCAGCACCAGCACACCGGGTTCTAGTCCCAGTCGGGGCGCCGGATTCTGTCCCGGTTGCCCCTCTTCCAGGCCAGCTCTCTGCTGTGGCCAAGGAGTGCAGTGGAGGATGGCCCAAAGTGCTTGGGCCCTGCACCCGCATGAGAGACCAGAAGCACCTGGCTCCTGCCATCGGATCAGCACGGTGCGCTGGCTGCAGCGCGCCAGCCGCGGCGGCCATTGGAGGGTGAACCAAGCACAAAGGAAGACCTTTCTCTCTGTCTCTCTCTCTCTCATGGTCCACTCTACCTGTCAAAAAAATAAAAAATAAATAAATAAATAAATGCATCCAATTCATTCTGCCAGGAGCTTGTAGAAAGCAAACATACAGACCAAACACCTCATCAACAACTTCTCTATTTCTACCTCCTTCTTGGTTGTCTTCTTTGACTAAATCCATTCTTTAATTATTTCCTTTTCCTCCTATATTTCTTTTCTATTTTTTTAAAGATTTATTTACTTATTTGAAAGTCAGAGTTACACACACACACACAGAGAGAGAGAGAGGTCTTCCATCCGCTGGTTCACTCCCCAACTGGCTGCAACAGTTGGAGCTGCACTGATCCAAAGCCAGGAGCCAGGAGCTTCTTTCGAGTCTCCCACGTGGGTGCAGGGGCCCAAGGACTTGGGCCATCTTCTGTTGCTTTCCCAGGCCATAGCAGAGAGCTGGATCGGAAGTGGAGCAGTTGGGACTTGAACTCGTGCCCATATGGGATGCCGGCAATGCAAGCGGTAGCTTTACCCACTAAGCCACAGCGCCAGGCCCTCTTTTCTAAATATTTTAAAGATTTATTTATTTATTGAAATTCAGAGCTATAGCAAGAAGGAGAGAGATGGAGATTTTCCATCTGTTGATTTACTCCCCAGGTAACAACCATGGCTGTGCCTGGGGTAGATAGAAGCTTCACCTGGGACTCCTACATGGGTGACAGGGGCCAAATACTTGGGCCATCCTTCAGTGCTTTTCCCTGGCCATTAGCAGGGAGCTGGATCTGAAGCAGCGCAGCCAGGATAGGAACCAGTGTCCATATTGGACACCAGTGTCACAGGTGGCGGCTTTACCTGCTACGCCACAGTGCTGGCCCCTCTTTTCTAAACTTTTGATGATATGCAACCTATTCTGTCTCCAAGTGCTTGTATGAATTTAGCACTTGCTTAATTCCAAATTAGATGTTGTATTGCAGTTTTCCTCTACCTCAATCTTATTTTTGTTTGGATTTTGGTGGTGGTTGTTCTGGGAGTTGTTTTCTTTGAAATGCGTTCTTAATGTTTAATTATTAATTTATTTCTGTTTTAAAAGCAGAGCAACAGAGAAAGATACAGACAAAGCCAGAGATTTTTTTTCATTCACTACTTCAATCCCCAAAAGCTCACAACACCTGGGGCTGGACTAGGCCAAAGCCAGGGGCCAAGAATGCCATCCAGGTCTCCCATGTAGGACCCAAGACTCATTTCATTCCGCCTTCATTTCACTATCAAATCTGAAGAGCCCTACCCCATCTCCACTCACCTCCTTGCGCTCCCCCACTCTAGACATTGCTATCTCTGGTCACCTTCAGATCTGCCATTTGGGGCTGTGAACTCCTGGCTCTCAGAATCATATGTGACCACTTAGTTCTCACTATTGTAGGTGTTGATTCAGCAGGATAATTCTCATTCCTGGATTTCATTTATGCCTTTCTCCCTTTGTTTTGGTCCTGGGAAAATTTTTAGTGCACCTGTCTTGCTTTTCCCCTATACCCACACACTTTGAGTGGGACTTAGTGATTGTTTTCATAGAGTGAGTTGAAACTTGGGGCATTCTGTCTCTTCCTAATTCCAAAATATAGGCCATGTGCTAGTTTATGTGTCTTTTATGATTGTATCAGTTTAGAAGGCTGTGTTGAAAGATTCAGAATCTGCTGTGTTTCCTGCTTCCCATGTTGGATCATTCTCTCCTTTTTTTTTTATTTTTATTTTATTTTATTTTATTTTTTATTTTTTGACAGGCAGAGTGGACAGTGAGAGAGAGAGAGACAGAGAGAAAGGTCTTCCTTTGCCGCTGGTTCACCCTCCAATGGCCGCTGCGGCCAGCGCACTGCAGCCGGCGCATCACGCTGATCCGATGGCAGGAGCCAGGTACTTATCCTGGTCTCCCATTCTCTCCTTTTTAATTCTATCAGTATTATTAGCAGACCCTGGTCTTGTTTATGTGATCCCTTTGACACTTAATCCTATTTTTATGATCAATGTGTTGTACTATGCGAATTAACAGCAAAACTAGTATTCAAACAGTACTTTATGCTTTGTGTGTCTGTGTGGGTGCAAACTGTTGAAATCTTTACTTAGTATATACTAAGTTGATCTTCTGTATATAGAGATAATTGAAAATGAATCTTAATGAAGAATGGGATGGGAGAGGGAGTAGGAGATGGGATGGTTTGAGAGTGGGAGGGTGGTTATGGGGCAGAAAAACCACTATAATTCAAAAGTTGTACTTTTGAAATTTATATAAAAGTTTTTAAGAAAAGAAAGATTCAGAATAAAAGTGATTATTTTCCTAGGGTTAACCTAAAAACATGTCTTTTCAAAAGTATTTGTAAATCTGATGACAGTGAAATGGTGTTCCACTAAGATTCTGTGTTCTCTTGATTAATTATGCAGTTGAGTGTCTTCTATATAACTGGAATTGGTTTTCCCCCAGTGAAATGTCTATTTATATCTTTTACTCATTTTTAATTGAATTACATTTGTATTTCTCTATATGATTTGAATGTTAATACTTTGTTATCTATGTCCATATGCATTAATTCAACTTACTCTCCTTGTGTTGAATATGGATGAACATATTTTCAGGTCATTGTGTCAATTTTTATACTTAGGCCTTTTTCTTTACTTACTTCAAATTCCTTTCTTTCCCCAATACCATAGAAATATTCTTTTTTGTTTACTGTAAATTTTTCAAATTCAACTTCTCAAATTTAAGGCCTGCCTGCCTCATCTGTCTGGAATTGATTTCCATATACAATTTGATTTCCATATACATTCTCATTCTTATACATGGACAACCAATTGTGACTGTACACATACAGATTATGTTCCATTTTTCAATGCTGAATCTTAAAACTCTTTCAAATATATCTTCATATATGAGCTTTTTGTGACTCTTTGGAATTCTATTTTACTCTCCTGTATTCTGTCCTACTTGTTTACTCAACTTATATTACACTATTTTCAGTACTAAAAGCTTTATAATAAGTATTACTAAGTGGGATTCAAATCACCCTAGGGCTGCCTCTTGGCCATCTGCTCAATCAAGTAAACTTTAAAATCAGCTGTTCATGCCATAAATAAGTACTATTAAAATCTTAATTGGAATTACAGTGAATATATCATTGGAGGAAGTACCAAAATATCTGTATTATTGAATCTTTTCACTCCTGAATTGATGGTTATTTCTATTTCTGTAGATATTCTCTAACAACTGTACAATTTTATAATATTCTCCATGATATACTGTGTAACTTTTATTAGACTTATTTTCTATCTATTCTATTTGATATTGTAAGTAATTTTTCTTTATGTCATTCAAATTTATCATCAATAATATTAGAAAATTATTATGATAGCTTAATTTCATCCTTTCTAGTTATCACTTTCTCCTTTTATTGTCTGTTAGTAAAATGGTGCTATCTTATCTAAGGTGCCGTGGATGCCTTCTTATGCCCTGGCCCATGGTGCTACTTTGCATAGTAGGCTTAGGTCCTAAGCCCCAAGGCCCAATCTCCACCCCACCTTAATGGGATTCCTGTTCCTACTTCCCTGCCAGCCCCAGGCAAAGGTTTAACTGGACCTGTTCCTGAACATGTGCTCTCTCTCTCTTACACTCTCCTACTCTCTCTTATTCTCTCACCCTCTCCCAACAGCCAAACAAGCTTCCCCCACCCGACAATAAACCTTTCCTCTAACTCCAGTGTTTGGTGTGTTTTCTGGTAGCCTTACAGTCTTAGTTGTTATTTTTAATACAGTTTTGAATACAAGTAAAGACAGCTACCATCCTTGTCATATTCATTCTTTTAAATTGAATACTTTTAACATTTAACTAATGCTTTCAATAGATTTTATATGAACTTCATTGTTGGGATACTCATTTTTTCCTATAATATCATTTCCTAAAATACTAGAAAATGTATTTAAATTCAAAAAGACATATTGCATCTTACATGGAATTTTTTTCTGCAATGGTTGAAATATAATCCTTCCCTTTTTATTTTAAAGAATCAGGCATAAAAATTTTGCATATTTATGGGATATCACATGATGTTCTTATACATCTATTTCTTGTGTGAATTCTCTTCTTTTTAATATGCACTTGACATAAATTATATCGATACTTTCACATGACAGGCAAGGAGACTCACCACGGTGCTAACGAGGGCTATATAAATACTTATAAAATTCTAGACTTGGGGCCAGCATTGTGACATAGTATGTTAAAGCCTCCACTTGCAATGTCAGAATCCCACAGGGGCACTGATCGGAGATTCAGCTACTCCTCTTCCAATCCGGCTCTCTGCTGTGGCCTGGGAATGCAGTGGAAGATGGTCCAAGTGCTTGGGCC